TATTTTGTTCTCTTTTCATTCAAATAATGTTTGTTTTTTTTATTATGTTTTCTTTTCAAAATTGTGTTATTTTTACTTGTTTTAATTTAATTTTACTGAAGATACTATATATTCTTTAACATTGACTAATGTAATTTTTGGCCAGATGTAGTTTTTATTTTTTGTTCATATCTGTTATTCATAAGGGACCTTGTTCCATAATAAAGTTTACTTTCTATCTATCCATCTATTATGAATTCATTCTAGGACAAGTCCTTTTAGAATAGTACATAATAGTACAATTGTGAGGTTTAGAGTCTTAGGGTTTTATTTTAAAAAAAATAAAATTAACAAATATAAATATAAAACTGTATCTGTTCACTGCTACCCATGAAGGTTGTAGGGATTCAGTACTTAAATGAAATCTTGGGTTCAGTACTATTTAGAGAAAACACTGTTTCTTAGTCAACGGTTGTGCAAAGATGTAATTTGACCGAGATCACGCTCAACCGTCAGGTTTTTCTCCTTAATTAATTGTTTAATTAAGGATGACCACTTTATAGTGACTAGATGTGCCCCAGATGGGTCTCCTGATCCCAGAATCGCCCCATGGCTGATGAAACAGAATAAATAATTTTTCTGCCATTAGCCGGGATTCGAACCCCAGAACTTGAGCATTAGAGTATTAGTGCTCTATTACTGAGCTGCTTCACTTCCTAGATTTATATAAATATTCACGGAATAAAAAACTATTTACAATTGTTTGGAAACTGGGTGGATAGGATGAAATGATTGAATAGGCGGGATTTAAAGGTAGAGAGGATATTTGAGTGACGGACGTAGAAGGGGATGGAATTCCATAGTGATGAAGATAGGATAATGAAAGATCTCTCTATTTACTCGTTTTCAACCATTGGTTGGTCTGTTTGTCTGTCCACAGCTATCTCTATATAAGGATAGACACCGATACATATATAAAATGTCCAGAACAAAGACGTCTTTATATATTGACTTCTAAGACAAAATTTTGATGAAACTTGCCTAAAATCTTTGTCGTAACGCCCTTTAATTTTTCGTATTGCTCATTCGAATAATGACGTAATTGTAATTCATAAAATTTCATAGGAGGCAAACTAATTAGAATTGTTATTATATAAGTAAGATAATTTTGAAATTATTTGAAAATGTACCAGTTTAAATTCTTCTAACCAATAAAATTTTAATTATATTATATTATGACATCGGTTCGATTAAACACGTCTTTCTGGCAATTTTATGTGAAAACGTTTTACCAAAACATTAGTTTCGTTTTTGCATTACCAAATGAGTTCTATTACAATGTTTGTTATTGGTTGCAATGTGAGATGGTTAATTATTCCAAATAAACAAAATCAAAGTTACTTACAAAGTTAAGAGAAAGATATTTTGAAAATTTGGTATTAAGTCCTAACATACCATTTCTGTGCGAATTACAGAGTACCATATCTGTCTGATATTAAGGACCACTTAATTTTACATTAATATAGTTAATGTAATCAAAAGATGTTATTGATAAGATTATGAAGATGTGTAAAATCGACGGTTTCATGTTCTACTCGAAGAACGATGACATCCCGAAAAACAGCCTGAAATCTGAGTCCAAATTACATATCATAGTTTAATTAATCCATTATGTTCTCGTTTGATTTGATATTTAAATATATACGCTAAACATAAATTTAAATAGTTTAAAGGTAACCTACGTGTGTTTTCTCATCGTTTTCCTTTCTCTATTCTGACGCTCTGGAGATGTCAATTGTTAATTACTAGTGTATATATTACACCTAGAATATATACTTACTACAAGGGGTCTTGGTACTGTGAAACTCTCTTAGAAGTTTCAGATGGTTACTAAAAAACCTATTTTTTGCAAATAATTTTTCTGAAGATTGTTAGGATACAATGGTTGTAATCTTACTCTCTTTATATTTTTCACGGTTTTCAAGATATTCATACATTATAACACTTTGGCTTATAAAATATGAGTGAGATTAACTATATTGTACTTAAAACTTAATTTACTTAGCGACTTTCCACCTCCGGCAATGTGTATGACCCGAGGTAGGCCGCGTATCGACCAGGCCACCTCCAGAGCACATGAATCAAATGTAAATGCAGGGAGTTGATACCCGCCCAAATCGGGGATGTCATCCGGGCACAATGAATAATACAGCACAGTCCGGGTCTCTTCTCTCTCTGTATCATCTCGTGGCTATTTTATGTCCGCCCGAATATGGACAAAAAATATCAATGAAGGCGAAATGAGGATTACGTAAATAGTTAATAAAATAATCATGAATATGTTCTTAGTTTTCTTTTGATGTAACATAATTGGGAATATAACAGATGGTTGAAATATAATTTTATTCTGATACTAACGTCTCCTTTTTATAATAGTAGAGCTCAAAAAATATTTATAGCCTTATATATATTTATATATATTATATGTATTATTATATGGCTCTTATCAATTAACTGTTGATTGTAATTACAAACCTAAAATTAATACGAGCTTGCGGAAGTTTGGCTTATGTATTTATTATCATCTATATTCTGAATACTTGTGACATCAATTTTAAATTTTAGTTAAAGATTTAAACTACCCACATCCCTGATTTCTAACATCCTATGCAACTTATGCATAACCTTTTTTTTAATTTTTATAACGGTAGGATATTGTTAACCTTATTAGAAAAAAGCGATGACTATCAAGTTGTCAAGATGAGATCCATCGACTTCTTTACTTCCTTCTCCTCGTACTCCACATCCTGTCCTATTCCTGGGTGTCCCAGATCCAACCCTAACGGTACCCCGATGTCCTCCTCAGGACTCGGACAGTTCCAAGTCTTTTCATCGTCCCATGTCGTGATCCTAATAGCCCCTATTCGACAACGATTTGCTCAGAAACGATGTGACCCCGCTATTAGAGCTGACCGAGGCACTTTATTGCGATGGCGTGTTCTCTTTCACCGATAACTATAGGAATAGTTTAAACTTTTAGTAATCGTCACATAATATAGGGATTTACATAATTGTTTTAGTAAACGGTAAAAACTAAAATGATATTTTGAGTCAAGAAATTCTACTTAATTTGAAAACAATTGGCGATATTAAGAGCACTTAAAAGAAAATGTAAACAGTAAAGAAACAAACTATATTTTTATGGTTGATAAATAATCCGGATCCATAATTTTTTTTTGTCATCTATTTTTCAACCTAAAAATGTGGGCTATCGTCAAGGTTTAAAAAAATAACATGGAAGATAGTTATCACTTCTTTTATGAAATTATCTTGATTTATTTATCATTAAGTTTGTTTTGTTTTATTTTTTAATATTTTTTGTGTATATATTGTGACATAATGTAATATTACTCAAGGAAAACATTAAAAAGATATCACCACTTGTATAAAGTATCATAACCTAATGAATATTGAACCTTCAAACCTGGATAACACTTAATATTTGAATCTAAATAATGGGGAAGAGGTGGTGTCGCCGAGCGGTCTAACGCAAATGCACAGCACAGAGCGTTGCCCGGCAACCTAATAACCGAAGTTAGATGAGGAAAAATAATTACCGAGTTCAATTCCCGGTGGCCGATGGGACTTTTAACTCGAAATAATTCTCCCGTCCCGGAGAAGAAAAAAAAAAAAAGGTGTAGCCTTAAAGGCAAGGAAGGGGCGGGAAAAATAGCCTTCATCAGGGTTGTTCCTTCAGCTGATGTCAGACGGGTACTGCATCTTTGTCGTCATCATCAGTGTTGCCCAAATGCGAGACCGAGGCGAGTCTTGGTCTTGCAAACTCGGTCTTGGTCTTGGTCTTGGTCTTGCACAAGTCTTTTTTTTCTTTTTTTTTTTTTTTGTTCATCCCTACCTCGCCTTTTTTTAGGATAACGGCATTTTCCCGGGCCGGGGGGTGAGGGCAGGGAATTTAAAATCCCCTCCGGCACCGGGACGCGAACTCTACTTTTCGCTTACTTTTTAAATATTCTCAAATCTATCCGGTTGCCAGGCAACTCGCGGTGCTTCGCACACGCTTTAGCCCATTTGGCCACCTCGCCCCCCGAGTCTTGCGCAAGACTCTCGCAACAGTCCTGCAGTTACCTATTAGCTGATTACTAGAGAGATATTACTGTAATTTTTTAGATAGAGAAACCTCACTAATCCCGAATGAAAAATTAGAGGTGTTGAATGCAAATGTTATTGGTTATACCAATTATTAACATATAGTAACTAAGATTGTCCAGTATTATTATCTATTTTGCCTTAATTTTTATTCGAAAAATCGATTTTTTTTACTAGTCCTAGTCTTGGTCTTGCAACAGTTAGGCGCCCTTGGCACTTTGCAAGACCAAGACCGATTTTGGGCAACACTAATCACTAGTGTGACGTCTTATAGGTGATCAGCCCTAAAACTTCTGAAATTGTATATTTCACTTTGACGCACCACCCCATCGAATTATCTATTGTCAATTCTTTCTCCTCCATTAAAATAATAATAACACAAGTAATACCAGCTAGACTGAGTGTTAAATATATATCGCATTAATCATATCCTTTCTTAACACTAACGGATCCAAGATTTCATACTTTTTATTTATTTATTTTTTTGTAGGGGAAAAGGTAGTTAGTTGCTTCAGCCCGAAAGTAACTAACTATAACAAATAATGATTAAACTATTCTTTTAGTGATCAATTTTTTCATAAGACATTATACATATGTTTTACCATTTTTTTTTAGGGGGGAGGGACTACAATCCCCCCTCCGTAGATCCACCTGTGTTTCTAAATGTTTAGAGTGTATGTTAGATTATATCAAGGTTATAGAAATGTTTCCTCCTCAAACTTCCATAACTACTCAAGTTCGATTCACACCAACCATTTATTATTGTAATCCGATTAAAGCACGAAGTAGACTTAAAACGGTGACGTTACCGTAACAGGTTTTTCCCAGTAACCGGTAACAGGCAGTTACATTATTCAATGCACACCTGGGACCGGCTAATGGTCCTCCGGTCAGCCGCAGCCTCTGGTATAGCTCTAATGATCGATTTTATTATCGCAGCCATTGTCCGCTTCAGTAAGCCATGAATCGATTTTTACTATCGAAATTTAGAAATGTCTGGCGAATAACGTAATGGTTATTGTAGTTATGCTAGCTATATTTATTTATAAATATGTATACTTAAAGTGAAATGTGAAATTTATAGTCGTGCTCATAGAAATTGCATCACACAGTAAAATTTTTATTATATTTAATTTTATTTAGCAGATTGCTATTATCTGCAAAATCTCTGGATATTTTTACTTTCACTTACCTATATATGTAATATATAGTAAGGGTAATATTGCTATATAGTAAGGGTAAAGGGTAAAGGGTTGTGAAAATTTTTGAATCTGAGTTTTGAACAGAAATACTCGTTTTGAGGTTCCCTGAATCCAAATAACCAAGTCTCGCAAAATAGTCTGTGTGTGTGTGTGTGTGTGTGTGTGTGTGTGTTTGTTAACAGTCTAGCTCAAAAACGAAAAGTTGTGCGGAAGTACTTTTTCGTCAAAATCGCCTAACCGGAAGTGGCACTTCATATAATAAACTTTTTTTTTTGTATTTATTAAGTATTACAACAATCTGTCTCTTGGACATTGGTTATAGTGAGGTAGGATGACATTCACACTATATGTACAAAAAATATAAAATAAATATAAGAAAAATAATAATCAAAAGTATACACAATAAATAATAAAATAAAATAACCTAAAAATAAGAAAATTAAAATTAAGCAAAAAAACACATGCATACCTTATATAATAAACTAGACACATTTTTACGATTAAATCGAAAACCGCTCGAACGATTTTGATTAAATTCATCATAACAGTATAAAATTAAACTGTTTTAAATAAAATGTGGTTATTATTCCGATCGGTGTTCTTTAACGGAGCTTAAATGACTAATTTTCAATGTTAACTTCATCTAAAGTACGTTTGTTTTTGTTTTTTTATTTGAAACAATTGACCATTTCACATTAATTTCTAATATGAAAAATGGTCAAATATAAAATATGGAAAAAATTGATAATTAACTAAAGGAGAAATAAGAGTTCGTAACGGAGAATAATTTTAATTGAGGAACCCAGAAAAACGAGCTCGCCCGAAAGATCGCCGAAACACACTTCCATACGTATCATGAGATTAATATAATACGGACTCCGACAATATTATATAAATATACATATGTGGCTTTTATAAGTGCTATTGTTGGTATTATTTAATTTTTAAATGTATAGATTACAGCGATATAAATATTAAAATTTGTATATATGAGGGTACTTATACAAATAAAAATACCCACAATGAAATATAAATACATATAGTCTATAATTTTTACTTTCGCTTCGCTTTTTCTGAAAATACTTCTTCTAACAAGAGGGTGGTAAGTGAAAGTTGTGTGAGCGCACCGCACCAGATTTTTTTTCCAGTTTTGAAACGATATTCTAAAAAGTTTCTTTCGCTCCATGGACCCTTTTTTTTCCTCAAAACTTTGACTACTTACTTTGTTGGTACCATATCCTCATAACTATTTCCCGTGAAAATTCGGTTACTTCATATAACGTCCCAACTTTAATATTTTTTCTTGAGGACAGTTTTTGATATAAGTCATAATTATAGATTTTATCCTGACATTAGTTAAAAATGAACTGAAAAATATTGTTAAAATTTTCTTATAACCTTAATAAGTAAAAATAAACAAAAACATTAAATGAAATTAGTGTTATCAACGTAAGAATCAAAAGAAATAGTTGATGCAATTTCTATGAACATGACTGTAGGTCTCCATTTTTGTTTGAATAGAAAACAAAGTATACAAAGAAACCGATATACATACAACGAACCCATGTAAATAAATAAGGAATTACAGGATGCAGTCAAATCTTAAATATTTTTAATTCATACAGTAACATTTGCAATTGTAAAATCTGTTAAGTTGAAAATCGATATGATGTTATTTTTTTCTATATTTATGATCACTGAATTCCTTTGGTATTTGATAGGCTGAAGGATTTTTGAGCCATTTTGAAATTTCGGAATATTTACCAATGACCCTTTAGTCTAATATTTATTTTATTTTTCCATTCTAAGGAAAAGCGCAAGAAACTGATTTAGATAAATCTCTTAATTTGAAATTGAACTGAAAAATCGATAGATTGTGTTGAGGACTCTGAAGCTTATCGAAAACTTAATAAAAGCTATCCTCTCAAATTTCCTAATTTTATAAAGTCCTTTCTTCAGGTAAAATTACAGCAAAAAAAAAAGCTTTATTGAAGTCCTTGAGAGTTAAATTTCAAGAGAGTTGAAGGAAAGAGAATTCTGTTTGGAAGGAAGGTCCTTTGATGTGTCACATGTTCCGTTAAAAAAGGTCCTGAAAAAAAGTCCTGCCGAAGGTCTTGTCCCGTCATATGGCTCTCGGCATCTGCTTCTTTTCATTGGAATCGAAACAAAAAGAGGTTTCTCATTCTCAGGAGCTGTTCTCATACCTTTTTTGTTCTAACGTCTGAAAGTTTTGTAAACAATTTTTAAAAAGTTTAGAAAATATATTAAGTTATAAATATAACTATAATGTTTCTTCTATATAAAAACAATTATTTTTAAATAATTTCAATATGAAAGATTCAACGTTTTTTAGTTCGAGGTATTTTAAAATTTCCAAAAAAAAAAATTAATTTTAGAGTTTTAGTCTTATTTTATAAATTAAGTAGTTTACCCAGTGCTAAATCTTAATAATATTTTATGCAAATTATGAGTTTAGCCTAATTCATTTGATAAGCTTAAAAACATTCGAAATTTATTTTGAAAAAATGAACTAATTACTTAAATAAAAAACTTATAAATACAAAATAATTAACCATTTCACATTGTATCTACTAATAAAAAACTGCTAAAAAGAATTTTACTATTTAATAAAGGGAAAAAGAGGAGAAATACATTCGCAGGTTGAAAATAAATTTCAGGAAATAAGATTAGTAATAACAAGTATTTATATTTAAAATATTATTCTTTCTGTTTATAAAATTTTAAATATTAAAAATCAATCAAGCCGTCGCTCAAAAATCGTTGCATACTCCCTAACGAATTGATTGAATGCGGAGGATATCGATGAATATTTCAAATCATCAAACTTAAAAATCTTAAATAGGTTTTAGCGGGCAACCCAAAAACAACCCTGGTGTCATTTCTGTTATACGAATAAAAATTAATTTCTACAGATTTGGTAGATGAATGTGTTGTGAGATGATTTTTGACTTTCCTTCTACTTGCCAGATCAAGGATTTAAATATTTTAAAATCTTCATGGTATACAGAATATATTGCAAAAAAAAAAAAAAAAGTATAATATATCTTTATGTAGTTTTTGGAGTTAAAGTTTACAGACGAAAAACTGGACATCCTTCCATACAATTGCATTGTTAGAGGGAGAAATTTTGAAGGTAGATGAGAACGCAGGTCGTGAGTTGTTTTCTAAAAGCAGTTGAGGATAGACTAAGTACTGTACTCCAGCTGACATTGAACGGAAGAAGATGGAGTAGCTCAAGTAGTGAAAGCCAAAGGAGGTTGAGTGAGGGCAAGTCGATCCCACGGTCAATACCGCCAGCTGCTTTAGCTCGTTAGCCACAGTATGCTGTAGTAAGTAGTAAGTACATCCTACTGCGTATTTGTAAATACCAATCGGAGCCATCATTATTTTATATTTGTATTTGTATTGTATCTTGACGGTAATACTTCCTGTGAGGCAGTGGCATCTAGTAGGAAATTCAGGCTTGATTTTTATTATTTAAGATAATAGAGTGTCAAGATTTCTGGTAATAATAAAATTATGAAAATTATTCCACAACTTGAGTGCAAAATGTACACTAAAGAAAAGGATACACTTCATCATATAGTAGTTTAAGGTTAGGAATATACCAGGGTATGGAAAATCTTGATGGGATAGAAATATTTAAGCCAACCAATACAGAAGATATGAGAACATTACATTGTTTTTTTCCTAATTCTATCAAATTATAGAGAATTGGTAGGGTAATCTGGAATATTGTCCTCCGCATATTATGGCAAAAATTCCATATTGTAAATCGGCATGTAATCTGGCAGGGTATTTTTCTTGTCTGTTCTCTTATGTTAATTTTAAGGCATAGTTCAATATTAATATATTTTTTTTAAATGTGTATTTATTGTTATATTTGTGTTTATTTATGTATATTGTTGACAGTTTTAGATTTTATATTAATTTGATAATTGAAACTGTTTTAACTGTCTGACCTTTACTGAATATGATTTTTAATTTATCCTTAAGAGTGTAGTAATGTAATGTCTGTTATGTAATATAAAAAGTAATTTGTATTTCCATAAGGATAATAATGTTTGTTATTTTGTGATAGGCTCCCTTTGTATAGGGGTCTTCTCTTAAAACAAATAAAGATAATAAAATATATCGGTAAGAGATACTTAATAGAATTTTTTAACCTTAAAGTGAATCAGAACTTAAATTCTGACGGTGGATTTTTCCAAATGGGTTTAATTGACAAAAAATTTAGTGTTTGACCAATGGCTTCTTGTAAAAACCTGTAAGTTACGGGGAAATATAATCAGATTGATTCGTTACCGAAAAAACGTAAAGAAATGCTCATTTAAAGATGAACATGTAAATATAAAATGCATAAAGCGTTTTGCACATAGACTACAGTATCAATTAGCTTTGTTAATAGGCTAAAATTAATTTTTATCATACGCTTTGTATTATTTTTTTAATAAGAGGCGAGAATGTCTATCCCGATGTCTCTGGAAAAATAAATGCCCGAGTTCCTATGCTCTGAGGTCGGCACTGCTTACCATGGAACTAGCGGAAGCAAAGAAGAGAGTGATTAGTGAGAATGTAATATTAAATGGCCTTTAAACAACCTCCTGGCAAGACAATTAAATGCACTCAACAAGACCCACCATCAGAACTTAACCTTTAGTAAAGAGAACATATTAAGTTTTTAGTTCAGATCAGTAGAAACAAATGTGGATTAATAGAATAATGATAATT